GGTGTGTATATGAAATCTTCCCCTTTTCCCACATCGCAGCATAGAGAGGGTGATTGATGGGCTTCCTGCTATAGAAGAGAAAAATGATCTCTTGGCAGCAACATGGTTGTGACCCTACACCATTTCATCTTGCCAGCAACACTGGCATCATAAGTTTAAAACAAAAACTTCATTTCAAACTGCCACTATGATCAGTGATGTCAAGGAAGTTCTTACTGGTGCAGGAGCATAGGTGTAGTCACACTGGGATTCTCACTCTTGAGTGAATGAAGAAAAGCAAGTGGGAGCAGGAAAAGTACCTAACTTGTGTGATCTTACAGCCACTATGAACACCTTTCTTCACTTGTGGTATTCATAGACTTGTAGATTGTGGTTAATTAGCTCCTGGTTTATGGTACCTGTTCGTTTTGAAATTGTGGCCAAATACACAATCAAGGTGCAATATATGTATTCTTTTCCCGGCACCACACTTCCCTTGCTACAGTATATTTCTGTGTCACAATTAAGAAACGACATAGCTACCTACCACATTCCCAACAGTGTGATATTTGTTGCTGGACACACTGCTTCTGTGTGAGCAAGTAAGTTTTTAGTTCAGTATACACCTCTACCCCAATATAACGCTGTCCTCGGGAGCCAAAAAATCTTACCGCATTATAGGTGAAACCGCGTTATATCGAACTTGCTTTGATCCACCGGAGTGCGCAGGCCCGCCCCCCTGGAGCACTGCGTTACCATGTTGTATCCAAATTCGTGTTATATCGGGTCGCGTTATATCAGGGTAGAGGTGTATCTGTAGTGTTTACTTAGCCAGCCTAGAGACTTCTAAAGTTAGAACTCTTAAGAACTTCAAGTCTAGCTATCATTGCCGTTTGTGCAACGTCCTGATCTTGTATAAATTGAAATCAGATTTTGAAGAAGTGAACTTTTGAGCATTTTAATTTTGAGTTAATTTCATTCTGTTCTCTGTTATTCCTTCTGTTTTTCCTTTTGTGTTTTCAGGCCTGTTCCTGGCATCCCAGAAGAAGTTATTCTGTTACTTTTGCTTAGAAACTGATCATAGACAGTGAATGGTGGATGCTCCACTACTGGTGAAGAAAAGTCTTTTCCTTATCTCCATGGCGTGTAATGAGGAAATATTCTTCTCTTTATGTTTCAACTTCTTAAACCAACATTTGAAGTATGGAGCCTGCACCAGCTGGCTTCCCCCATAGGAGCACACAGCAAGCATTTTACCAACCCTTACAAGCGAGCAACTGAAATCAATGTTTGATATGTCCCTGAAGTGATGTCTTCTGAGTTTTTGAGCTCTGTTTTTGCACCCTAGAGAAGATTTTTACAAGCATACTCACACAGAAACCAGTCTTCTTGAATGGTATCTCCTTTCTGTATCTTAGGAGGGTAACATCTTCTCCCACTGTGTCCAAGTAAATGGATAATGCATCTGCATGTGGTGCTGTGCCATGCTATTTCAACAAGTGTGAAAGGTTGCAGCAAGAATACATTTCCACCCTGAAACGAGGAACAAACTTTAAAAAAAAAAAACCACAATCCTGGAAAATCCCATAACGAGGATGTCCTAATCCAGAACAAAGAACTGACTTTGTAGATAAATGTCTCAATGTCACCTCGTGAAGCAGCTAATGCACAGAAACAAATACAGAATTACTTTGTCCATCATGGATGAATGAATCATCACATTCTGTGATCAAAAGCATTTGCATGTGTAAATCCACATAACCAGTGAATGTGAAGAGCTTTCACCAGGAAAAGAAGTTGCTCTGCACTGTCTCTTTTTGTAGCAAACCCCTTCCCTAAGAAGGTGAATCTTTGAGAACCTCCTAGTGCTAAAGTTGATCCTATAGTGTTGGGTTTACATTGTACCTCCAGCAGCTTTAGCAGCAAAAGGAACAAAAAAACTCTGTGATCCAAGAGATGGGACAGAACTTCTTTTTAATAAAGGAACTGGCCTCTGGTGGGATGGGAGAGGCTACAAGTATAATGCTCCAACTCATCCCCTCAGCGTCCTGAGTGCAGTTTATAACTTCTTCATACTGCTGATGGAGTTGGTTTTTAACTCTCCTTTGGCTACTGGAGAACTGGGATGAGTAATCTTCCAGGGTGTAGATGGGAGGTCTGATAGAGAAGTTCAGAGAGAGCAGAAATGTTGAAGGAAGTGTGCTCTTTTTCTGGCTCCTCCTGTATCTCCATCCCAAACTAAGGAGGAGATCATGGTTCTCACGTGTTTACACCAGATTCTTTGTCTCCATCACCTGTGACTTATACGGGATGTTTTCCTTCCATTTTAGATATAAGCTTTATGTTGTTTAGTTGCTCCCTGCAGTGGTAGTCTGTATGGTCAATGAGGTTTCTTGGTGGAAAGGCCATAATTGGTTTGTGTTTTTTCACTTGAACCTGGACCTCTTCATAGTGCACCTTATTCCAAGCTTGTGTTAATGTGAATTTAGCAAATGTGATTTGCTGATTTAAAATAATACAATTTCAAATCTGGATCAAAAAAGGGGTATAGGCTCTATTTAAATTATTTTTTGTTTTCTTTTAGAAAACCACTGGAGAGAGCCAGGCAGCCTAAAAATGGCTTTAAAAAAAAAAAAAAAAAAGGCTGAAATTCTACTTAACTCCTGGTGACAAGTAGCGAGAGCAACATTTTAAGACTGGTAGAGAAGGGAAGGGGTTATAAAAGGATGGGGAAGAGAGAATCTCTAAAGAAACTTTTTCTTATCTGTGTAATCTATCGTAGTGGAAGTTGAAGGAGAACAAATTCTGGAGTTGAACAGACCCATGCACCGGCTTTGGTCCTGCTCTTCCCTCCTGGGAATAAAGTTGTGTAGAGCCACAGTGAACTTGTGATGTGACAATAAGATTTAATTACATCTTTTCCTGTTTTGTGCTCTCTTGGAGTGAAAATCAGTCTCATTGGGTAGGGAATGTTGAGCTGTACATTTCATGCTGAAAATAACACAAGATGTAATGGCATCAGAATATAAAAAGCACCAATACAGCACAGTCAGCTGTGTTTATCTGTTCACTTGGAGAAATGATTATATTTGTCATGGGTAGGCAGTTGGGCTGGTTTCCTTTCAATACAGTGCAGTCCCTTGCCAAACAGAATTTGGATTTTTGAGTGTTAAAGGCAACTGGAAAAATACGTTCCCTTTTAGGGCCTCTTACTGAAGTCAATGTGATTTTTGAATTTATTTAAGTAGAGGCAGGCTCAGACCGTTAGTGAGGAAAATATCTGCTGTCAATGTCACAGGTTTAAATGTGATTAGAAGGCATCCATTATGGCAAATGTGTCTTCTTAAGCCTGGTGATTCTTCTTTTCACCTTCCTGACTCCTATTTGTCCTCCTTCTGACTTAACCACTTGCAGCTGTTTCTAGCACAGCTTGATAGAAAATTTGATATTGTTTTCCATATATTGTAAAAGGCAGAGAATGGACTCTGGAGAAGGTGGATACACTTTAGCCCACTTTGCCACATGATAGGAATAATTGTCTCCAAGCTCTGCCTGATAACGAGAAATGGAAACAAATGTTGACTTTCCCTGCCTGCCCCCTAACATGTAAACACTTGATTAAATTTTAAGATAAAATTATAATAGGGCTAATGTTCTGTGGCTGTCACAGAATGCAGTTGTGCATGCCCAAAAGACCCCACTGCAGTATGCTTCCTGCCAGCTTCTTTATGAAACTGCTGTGCCAGGCAATACTGCCTCAGCCTTTAGACTTTACTCTTTGCTCCGCTTCTGTTTCTCCATGTTGGTTGGAAATCTTCCCGTATGAAAGATTAAACAAATAAATAAGGGGCATGTGCAATAGATATATATACATATATTTTAATACTTGTGGACAAAATGATGTTACAAGTTGTTTGAAAACAACAAAATCACCAATGTCTTCCATTTTGAGATGTGTATAGTTCCATAAGCATTAGTGCTTCGTAGCAAACTGTAGTGCCATGTTAGGATCAGTGCATGAGCCTAGTAGTATTTTTACAATTTCAGAGTGGCAAATTATTAATGACAATAAACAATAATGTAACTAACAGTAGAAAGCAGACAGTAACAGATGTTATGAACGTGGTCTAAAGAAGCAGTATCCTTCTTAGGCAGTCGTAGTGACAAGGTTATCTTTGGAACCAGAATTTATTAAATTGATGGGCTGTGTGGAATAATAGCTGACTTTTTTTGTATTGTTTTTGGTAAAGTCTATCCAGGCTAAACAGTAGACTGTGAGCATCCAGACTAATCATCTCTTTGTCCATATAAGGTGAACTGCAAGACAAATCCAGGACACGCACCAAATTGACAGTGGCATTTGTTTCCTTTTAGTCTTAATGAAACACCCTAAACTGTTCTTGCAGATTCTATCTTCATGTAGACCGCTTCATTACTACCCATCCCATCCATCATACAGAAGCTGAAGAGCCACTGTACGTGTTTTATAGGCAATTCTGCTGCCTTCTCATATGGCTTAATTAATGAGCTCTGTTAACTATTGAGCAGAGTAACATTTTGCAGAAATAACTGTTTAAAAAATATGATACTAATGTTAATCTTAATTAGTAAGACTAGTTAAATTATTACATTCAAATTGCTGTCTACAAGTTTTGTCAATTTTGTACACTTAGAATCCTAAATTATAGATTGACCCTTCCAATACTTTTCCCAGCTATCTGATTTCTTTTTTAACTGCGTGGCAATTTTTTCTTTCTCTCTCTCTCTCTCTCTCTCGCTCTCTACAATGCCTCTCCCTCTACTTTCTGAGAATGGAAAGCTGAGCTAGGTGAAATCCAAATGGTTTATCACTAAGGATAAGATTTTGTCGTGGAAGTCATAGATTCCATGACTTTCAGAGACCTCTGTGACATTTTCCCTTCAGCTTCAGCCCTGTGCCTGGGGTGGTGGGGCCAGAGCTGTCAGCTGGCGGGGGCTCTGAGCCGCTGCGGGTGCAGGGGCCCCACTGCCGTCAGCCACTGCAGGCAGCCACTGCAGGCAGTGGGGGTCCCGCATCTCTGAGCCACTGGCCTTGGAGCTCTGAGCCATTGAGAGCAGAGGGGACCTGTAGCTGTCAGCCGCTGTGGACGGTGGGGGCCCCAGAGCTCTCAGTCACTGGCACTGGAGCCATCAGCAGCTGCAGGGGCCTTGGAGCTGTCAACCACAGTGGGTGCTGGAGCTCCCCCCTCCTCCAACTGCAGGGCTTGGGCTTCAGTCGTCTCCTGGTCAGTTCCCCCATCCCCATTATTTTAGTAAAAGTCAGAAACAGATCATGGGCTTCCCTGAATTTTTTTTATTGCCCGTGACCTATCACTGACTTTTACTAAAAATAACTGTGACAAAATCTTAACTTTACTTATCACTTTCTCAAACAGGCAGTTTAGGCTACTGAAGCAAGAGATGGAAATGACTCCCAACCCAGGTTTGCAACAATCTGTGTATCATATCTATCTGATTTCCTGGAATAGCTTTTTAATTTCTGTCACTATTGTTTTTCACCCACCTCTGTTTTAAAAATAACAGGCTGCTGTCAGCTAAGAGAGGATACTGCATCTTTTCTTGAGACCTGCCTGTAAATGGCCACCTGGGAAAAATGGGTAGCTTGGGTTTCTGAGTTGATCTAGATTAATTAAATGGGCAAAATGTATTGAGATACAAAACCAGTGATTCTTGCAGAGTTAATTATGTAATAAAAAACAGAGTCTCTGCATATTCCGTCTCTCCATGTATATTGGGCAGGTGGGCTGTTTACAGTAGAGCTCTGGGGAACTGTGCTCAAAGCTAGTTCAGTTCTGAACAAAAGTAGCTATACCATTGAATCAAGTAGTTTAGTGCTTGGGGGAATCAATTGATAAAAAATACCTCTGAAACTGGAATGCAAAATAGCACAGTATGTAGGGGGAAATATCCCTGATGCAAACAAAGCCATAAAAAGATTTAATAAAACTAGAATTTTAGTAGCAATAACTGTTTTGCATGTAATAGTAACTAACTTGCATTAGCAAGATTGTACAGTAGAATAAGTGGTAATAACCAAATAAGTTTGTGGTCTGTGCTGCAGGGAGTTGCATGAAGAGAACAGTGTCTCTTTTTAAGAAGATGGAAGAATTCCTTTTACTGTTCCCCCCTTTTGAGGGAATATGGCGCTTGAATACCATGGTGATGAGCCTGGTATAAAACCTGGATAACTATAGGTCATGTGTCAGAATTGGTGCATGTAGGGGAAGAGTGGGCAGTTGTGTATGAGTGACTGGTTTCCCTGTTGTTTTTGTAGTGTAGCATGTGCAGTGCCTCTGAGAGGAAAGTGCTGAGATATGAAGAAGACCCGTTTCCCACAGTTGGAAAGCTTTTATTCAAGCTTTTATTGGAGAGAGGAGTTTTTGTTTTTTGTAAAAAGAAACTAAGTAGAGCTGTGACAGGTCCTGAAAAGAAAGTATTGCAAAATGTTGACAACCCAAATGTTTCTTCTGCAGGGACAGAATTGCAGGATTTATTTATTTCAAAAGACTATCCTACTTCCTCTTTTAAAATTTTAAGTACAAACTGGCAATATGCTTCCATTTAAGATTAAAACTGTTTTCTGTTCACCCTTTGAGTTTTGCAAAGCCAATTGCAGTGGATTCTCTGGTAAGGCAGAGGAGAATTGATCTGCTGCTGTGGTATTTGTCCCTGGCAACTATTGGAGGGGCACTCAAAAGAGCCCATGGAGTTTTAAAATATAACCCACAGCTGACCTTGTCTTCAGTACAGAAGTGTAGCCTGCAGAGAATATACAGCTCAGCATGCCATGTTCTGTCCTGAATTGAATTATTAAACCAAAGTGTGTATTGATCCATGTGGTGGCTTAGTCTCTTTGATCAGGATGGGATATTGCATGCTACCATCAGTAGTGTCTGAGAGTGGCTGAACTTTGCTTCATTATTTAGTAAACTCGGTGGGGCCATTTGTCCCCTGGCAAGTTGATAACGTGACCCTCTGTTGAGGCAAAATGTGGGCACCCCTAATATAATGTAACCAAGATGGATGTATGGATAAGTAGTTAAGTGTTAGCAAGTAGGGCATATCCAATAGTAGTCTTGGACATGAAAACCTGTGATCTAAAAGATGGTGATTTGAAATAAATTCCAGCCATTAAATTATTATTAAAAGAGGAAACATACCAAGAGAAGACCTTAACTTGATCATGTCCTAGGCCTGGTCTACACTAGGACTTTAATTCGGATTTAGCTGCCTTAATCCGAATTAACCCTTCACCCGTCCACACTACAGAGCCAGTTAATTCGAATTAAAGGGCCCTTTAAATCGATTTCTGTACTCCACCTCGACGAACGGAGTAGAGCCTAAATCGATTTTGTTAATTCGAATTAGGGTTAGTGTGGACGCACACCACCGAATTACTGTGTTTAAGTTAATGGGGTAGTGTGGCCGCACACCACCGAATTAATGTGGTTTAAAACCGAATTAAGGTGCTTAGTGTGGCCGCGCACAATCGAATTTATACAACCTGTTTCCCAAATTCGAATTATCTAAATTCGGATTAATCCTGTAGTGTAGACATACCCTTAGACATACTAGATGGTATTAGACCAGCCTTATACAATTACGAAAGTCTAATCGCCAGTCTTTTACCATAATAATGAAAACACTGTCTTGCTCATATTTCCAGAATATGTACTTTTCCTAGCTGAGTAGAGTTTTGCAAGACTGTGTTACACAGTTACAATGAAAACGTGAAGGCTATCGGCTTGTTGCTGCCAACGCAGACTTTCTGGTGTACTATCCTCCAGGGGTGACTAAATTTCCAAAGACTGCTCACAGCAGCAATGTCAGAGATCCTGCTGCCCTAAGGCCACTGAGCTGTGGTATGGTTCCCCCCCCCCCCCCCCCAAGCCCTTGATTTCCTTGCTTGCAAAACAAAGCAGAAAGTTCAGATAATGTGATGGTTGTCAAGTAATGCCATGCTAATACTAGGTCTAAGCAGTGCTAAGTCTAGATCAGAAGTGTGGACTGTGCAGAAACCTGTGGTCTGCTTTCTTGCTCATTGGTGCTGCTGGAGAAGTTCTAGCCAGTACCTATGCTGTGAATTGCAGCTCCTGCTCGATACAGCTGGCTGTTAAGGACCTTAGCAGCACTAAGAAATCCATGTGGCAAGTTTTTGGGAATAGAGAGCTGTGGCAAGCTTCAGGACAACGATATTTTAAACAGGACTTCACTACCAGCTCTGCTGTTAAGGTTATTTTCAGGGTTTTATGGAAGAGAACAGAACCTTTTCTGGGGAAGTTTGTCAGTGCTCTTAGAGACCCCTTTTTTCCCCGCATTGCAGTGACCATCCTTTCAGCTGTGAATGGAGTCTAGCTGAGATTTCCTCCCAAGCCCATTCGTACAGCTTTTTACTTGAGCCAGAGGGCTAGATGTTGGGCAGTTCAAGGTGTAGCCTTTCCTCCCAAAGGTTCAGCATGTTGCCTCCACAGTATGGCCAGGCTAAGGCACCAAGGGCCAACAGTGGTACCTGGGTGTCTCACATAGCAGTGCAGAATGCTACCTATGGACACCCCCACACACACGTTTTCCTGAAGTTTGACTTCAGAATAATGTGTATACATACACAGCATAAATAAAGGATATGTCTGGCACTAAACCTACGTACCAAGCAGTCACAGTATACCCAAAATTCTCTAAGGCTTACCTTTTATCTTTACTGTCAGATGTTCTAACATGTCCTGTGTAAATTCTGTTTTCTCTCAAACTGAATGTGTGTTTGCAGGGCAACTAAGAGAATGTTCATTTGTGAAGCCCTAGGCACAAAGAACTGCATGGACAAAATGAGGAAGAGTGGCACAGGCCCACAAATCAAGTCTTATAGAGCTAGTATTCTAATTATGCATGATTCAAAATGTCTAGTGTTATATAGTTATTACCAGTAAATTCAGATATGCATTTATTCATAATGAAGCAATAGGAACTAATATACCAATAGCTTGAACTTACTGCTTTGATTCTCAAATGTTGTTTTTAGAGAATGCACTGCCTCTGTAGAGAAAGGGGCAGATTATACAGATAGGGACAGAAGCATGGCACCAAAACTGCATATCAGGAACGAGGATCAGAACTCGCCTTTTTAACCTCTTGCCTGGTTCACATTAGTGCCCTGAGCATGTAAAAAACAGGGCATGAACTAAGTATGTTTAGTGGCGAGATGAGGTTTCTCAGCTGCTGCAATTGTAGCAAACAGAAAGGTGCAGAGTTTCCCAGGGTGTGGGGAGGGCAACAGGTGAAATCCAAGTTGGATAACATAAAAACTGACTCATAGTAAACTGAGTGTAGGATTTGCCTGACAATAGGTGAAAGAGGTCTTGACCTAGTGAGGTAAATTCTTTGGAGGGGGTTGAAATCAATAAGCACAGTCCACATATTTCAGGTGTTGAATAGCTTTTTAATAGTATTTTCAGGTAACTCTTTCTTTAGCCACATAGGCCGCTGTACTGAAGCATACTGGTATGAACCAGCAGTTATGGCACCCTGTAAGAATGAACCTGAAATTTTTGACAAACTTGTGTGTTTATTTTGTTAAGCTCTGTGACTAAAATTTTTTAAAAAGTTATAAAATGAGATTTGCTAAATGGGTGTCTTGACCTCTAGCAACATAGGTGACAATATGTTTTGTTCTTAATTTCACTGATTAAAAAGAGTGATTGACATGAGAGAACTAATAGAAATCTATTTGTTTGCAAACTTTTACTATGTTTTCTGTAAAGAATATTTCTCGAGCCATTTTCTGGGTGTTTGGGGAAAATTTCTGCTGAGAATGTACAAAAAAAAAATGTTATGGTATCTGTAGCAGAGCTCAAGAACTAATGCTGCTTTTCCTAGACTGAAGCATGTAAACTCATAGAAGCTCTCAGACTGAGACAAGTAGTTTCTGAGATTCCTTACTTCTATCTTATTATGGCTACATCTAACTTTGCAGGAGGACCTAGTTTATGTGAAAATCCCTCTGTCAGAAATTCCCTCCTGTTTCTTTGAAGAAACAAAATGGGGCAAGAGGAAGGGTTTATGAGTCAAGTTAACACCTGTCTACATTCTTAGCCAGTGTAATACAAGCACACCCACACTGCAGGCTTGGTGTGGGGGCCATATATTTTTTTTCCTCATTGTTCTTTCTTTAGATATACAGTAGTTGCCAAATGCAAAAGGGAATATTAAGGTTTAATCTGTGATGACTGTATTTTATAGTATCAGAATATGGTTGAAATTTTTCCTTTGGGCCAACTTCTGTAGGCAAAAAGGAATGGTTAAAACATGTTTAACCCTACTGGACATCCTTCAGGACTACTCTTCAGTTTAAAATCCTGCATTAGTACTCTTCTCCCCCCCCGCCCAAATAAGGCCTGGTCTGCACTTAAATTTCAGGTCAACATAGTAACGACACTCAGGGTGTGAAAAATCAACACCCCTGAATGTTGCAGCTATACTGACATAAACCCCCTATGGCTAGATAGACAGAAGAGTGACAGTAGCTAGGTTAAGAATTCAAGTTGGAGTTACTACAGTGACAGAAAAAACTCTCTTCCATTGTTGTAATGTACACTACAGTGGTGCCACTGTAGTATTTGTAGTGTAGACGTTGCCTGAGGGGTAAGCAGTTAGTGTATTTACAAACACACACTTATTTCCCTTCTAAACAAAAAGGAAATAAAACTTCCTTCTAAATAATCTTTGTGAGGAGCATGGTGGAAGAGCAGAGGAGAAATGTTGAAGGTGGTCTTCAGCTCCAACATAGGAAGGGGATAGAGTAGATGCCTTTAAAAAAATTTTTTTTGTCCTTAAGTTTGGAAACTAGGTTAGAGAATACTGAACTTCTAATAGTATGATCACATTTTTATTGTACTCAATAGACCATGCACAGGAAAGATTAGTGAAGGAATTTAGTGGTAACACTGGAAACCATTTACTCCATTGCATAGTGTGTTTTATGTGGTTATACTGAAAATTTCTCCCTGTATATAGCTGAAGTTTTCCAAAAGGCAGCTTGCTTTTATATCTATGCATCTTTGGGGATTTGAAGAAAAGACTTTATTCTTTTGACACTGTAAAGAGGAACTGTTTAAAAATGAACTTGGAAACTCTGCACCTGTATACAATTTTTTTTAGCAATAAAGCAGCACGGGCTGAGAATGCACTGAAACCTCATTGTGTGTCATTTTGTTAGGGGGGAAAAAAAAAAAAAGACAAGCTAGAAGGTAGCCATGTTGTTTCAGGTGGAGCTGGTAGTTCTGCCTAATAAGGTTACCTGACCCTTCTCATTAGAAGACCTTGTTTTCAGAGTTATAAACAACTCTGCCAAAACTTTAATGTGCCTCAGGCTGAATTATTTTGAAAAACTTCAGCCAAAATGATTCAGCCATTTACAAGAACACAGCTAGGGAAATGTACATTGTTTTGCACACATTTAAAACATTTCTGATGACTTTTTCTTTGAAAATCTCTAGCACCCAATTTGGCAGGTGGCCTTTGTCAGGGATGTGTCATTTGCCTTTCCAATGAAAATCTGCCCAAATTTGTTCAAGTTAAGTCATTTTGAAAAATTACAGTTTGCTCAGTTTCAATAGATTTTAGCAGCTACATCCCCTGATGATTCGGTCCACATTGGGTATGCTCCAGCCCAGTGTTGAGCAGGACTATCTATGCAATTGTAGCTCTGGACTGCATTGGGTAATTCTGTACTCACACCACGCACCCCTACCCCCACCCCCAGGAGGAAGTTGCCTGATTTGAATGCAGAGGGAACAAAAGCTCAGTGTCATTAGGACAGGTAGCTCAGGAGAGGGGGACAGAAACGGGGACTGAAGGGGGAGAGGGAAATTGAAACTGGGAGTTGGAGTGGTGAGGGAGAATGGAACTGAAGATCAGTGGAGTTGGGGAATGAGATCAGATAAGGAACGAGCATGTATACGTGGGACAAGTGGGACTGTTTGGACAAGGAGACTGGGACAATGATTGGAGGTGATGGGCACACTGGGAATGGCTAAGTAAGGAAGATGGGAGTGGGATTAGGAGCAGGGAAGAGATGGAACTGGGACACAGAAGGGATGGAAAGGAGTCTGTGACCATTAGAGAACAGTCTCCTCCAGAGTCAGGAATGGAACCCAAGATTGCTTTCCTCAGCTGTCAACAAATATCTGGGAAACCCACTGGCTGAGTGTCCAGTCCCCATTTAGCACTGGTCCACAGAAAGGATGAGACCCTACTATTGCTAATCAGTTACTGTGTTAGCTCAACTGGCAGAGGTTGGTATGGTAGATGTAAAGGTTCCAACACTGCTGATAACATGTGTGGGTGTTGATATCATGCCACATGATGGAATTTTGATTTTTAAAAACCTAGGAACCTACCTACACAAACTACATTAACCTTGCAGAGTCAAATACTCAAGTTAGGAAATGCCAGAATTAAGGTTTCCTGTGCAATGTCAGTTCATTCCCCTTGTGTGCATGCATTGAGAGAGTCTTTAATTACATGATCACATTCTGTTTTTTCCACAGGAACCCCTTCCTCCTGTCAGTGCACAGGATAGACATCCTTTGGCAATGAATCAGAGTTGTGTACTGAAGGAGGCTATTACCGATAGGACCCAGCCTCATTTGTTGCAGAAGTTGGAAAGCATACACTGAAAAAGGCAGTGGAAGGCAGAAAGAGAGGGAATGGTCTTATGGTTAAGGCAGTTGAATGCTGCTCTGGAGAATTGGATTCTGTCCCATTCCTGTGATGCTAGGCAAGTCCCTAAACCAAAAACTTCTCAAAGGTGTTTTTGGGTACCCAGTTTGAGACACCTAGGTGCAAGGATGTCAGTCTGCATGGGAATCCCCTTCTCACATCCACCTCCTTTCTCAGCTGTGGCATTCATTTAAAATCATACAGATGGGCTCCACTACAGTTGTTGCTACACATCAGTCCTCAAACTTTGAGCAGTACCTTAGGCTTTACTTCCATCTCCTTCAAGGCCAACCACAGTGATGTTGGACAACTGAATGAGCATGTATTATATAATCTGCCAAGGAGGAGCAAAATCCTGATCCTTACGCAGAGCTGGTGAGGCTATGGAACTAATGCATAGCTCCATAAATACTTATCTCAGCAGTCTCTCTGATGGCATTATAGAACATGATTGATTGCAGACTTGCTGAGCAGATTTTTCCATCAGGACCACAGGCAAGAGCTGCCTTACCTGGGGTCTTCTGCAGGTAGACCGCCGCCATATTTTCCAACATTAAATGTCATCAGTTCTTAAGGTGGTGGAGCATGGTTGCAACTCCTTGGGAGCCCCCTCCTTGTCCTTTGGGTCTCTTATACACCTTCCCCTTAATTCCACTGATCCACAAAGCCCTGCTCAAACTGAAATGAGAAAGCAGTGACCATTTTCATAGCCCTGATGTGGCCGACCTGGCAACATGTCTGCCTCTTTTCTTTCCTCTCGTGACAGCCCCACTAACCCAAGGAGTTGAACTCCATAACCCACCCCAACCTATCATCTCTGCACCACAAGGCCTGGCTCCCTGATGGTTCTCAGGCCTAAAGCAGGGATGTTCTCCTGACGTCCAGGTCAGTGCTATTAGACTGAAAATTTACCACACAAAAGACTTACCTGCAGAAGTGGAAGCATTTCCAGAAAGTGCACCCAATGCTCCATATCTCCTACTTGTGCTCCTGTGATATCCATC